GAGAAGTCTCACTTTTTCAACCATCCCCGCCAAGACTCCACATATATTGGTGAGGCCATTTTAGACCCTCCAGCCAACTCATGGACTGAATGCAGCCGTATGAATGCGCCATTTCCTTGCTCCTAAAAAACTGTCTTGTATTTTTCTAGATGTTGTCCTGATAGGAATGTGAAGGTAGAACTGCTACAGTCACCTTTTTAGAGACAACATCAGCATGGTGGTGATGGGAAAGTGGAGAGAAAGAAAGAGAGCCCTTGATGACATTACAGAGTCGCTGAATTAACTAGCTGTGGAGTTGGTCACCTTCTGGCCTTTTTATCACATGAGGTGGCGTATTTCCTCATTCTTTAGGTTACTTTGGGTTGGGTTTTCTGTTACTTGCAGCTGAAGGCACGTTCTAATTGATATACTCCTCAGCCAGCTTTACTGGTACAAGAACAAAACTCCTGAAATGCCCTGCATAGTATCTAACAGACATTCAAGTAATTTGTCATTGCTGAGAAAGTAAAAGAAGACTGTATGGTAGAGATTGCTAGTTGCTTACCTAACAGCCATTCTCCCCTTCCTCCTTAATTACAGAACTCTGAATTTTAGCTGGGCATACTGCTGTCTAGAACAAAAGACAGTATTTCCCTACCTTCTTTGTAAAGAGATATGGCTATATCACTGAGTTCAGGCCAATGAGACATAAGCAGAATTGCTGTGAGAGGGCTGCTTCATAGAAGCTGACTCAGCTGAAAAGAACCTTTTTTTTTTTGCCCCACAGCCTTTCCTCTTTCTTCCCCCCAACTTGATTTCTCTGACTAGAGGTCCAGGCACCATCTTAGGCCATGAAGTGACCTCGAGAATGGAAGCCAAGAGCTAGGATGGTCAAGCAGAAAGACAGAGGCCTGGAGTCCCGATGACAAAGCAGAGCCACTGTATAGCAGCTCTGGACTGCCTGGCTTCAGATTTTTTGTCTATGAGAGAAAGATAAACCTCAATTTTGTTCAAGAAACTACTTCTTTAGGTTTTCCTCTTATATTCAGCTAAGTAAAATCCCTACTAGTAGTCTCCTCAACAACTTTCCTTTTAAAATACTGAAGACTGGTATAGAAGAATATATGAATCCACCTGAATATTAAGCAAGCCCTTCCTGGCTTCCTTTCTTCCAGTGCCTTGAAGCAGTATTTGGGTGTCGCCTTGTTAGTGCCTTGGATGGAATTCTAAATTGCAAGTAATAGAATCTGGCTTCTGAAGCAAAGAGAAATTTATCAGAAGGATATTTGGAGTCACTGAGTTGGCAGGAGGCTGGAGAATCACCCTAGGAATGGACAGAAGTCTGAGCAACTCTGCAGTTTAGGAATCAGAAACATGCAGTCTAGCAGCAGGAACAGCCACAGGTCAATGCCACTGCTGCTGACCCTGCTGTCACTGCATGCATAAGTAGCCTCTAACCTGTGCTCTCATCTTTGTGACTGTTGATTGGTAGCCAACGTCTCAGGGTAGATGACATGAACTGGGGAGAGGTGACTCTTTAAAGGAAAACCAGGGTGTTTATTATGATGAAGATATGGAAACTGTGCAACCAACAAATGATAAACATTTACCATATCCAACAAGCCTGAGTCAGGTGAAGGAGACTTGACCCGCTGCAACTTGGTGTCTAAGGTCCCAATCTCTTTCCTCTCCATGAAAGACAGTCCTTCTCTGAGTCTAGTCTATTTCCTATTTTTGACTCGACCACCCTATTCTGATCTCCTGACTTTCTGTCCTGGTTTTTCCTTTGTTTTTTTAAGGAATAGTTGAACAGGAAAGTTTGAAAGGGATGGAAGGGATTATCTATTTCAATCTCATCATTTTCTAAATAGATACTAAGTTTCCCCAGATCTTGACTTGCATGTTTCTGATTGTAGCAGGTACTGAATTTAGATTGTATCTTGTGCAATCTTGTGTTTGACTCCTTGACTGAACTTGGTTCTTATTAACTGTTATTTGTGTTCCCCCTAAAATTTATATGTTGAAGTCCTAACCCCCAATTCCTCAGAATGTGACCTTATTTAGAAGTAGGGCCATTGTAGAGATAATTAGTTAAGCTGAGGTCTTAACTGGAGTAGGGTGGGCCTCTAATCCAATATGACTGATATCCTTATAAAAAGGGGGAATTTAGACACAAAGACATGCACACAAGGAGAAAGCCATGTGAAGATTAAGGCAGAGATCAGGGTGACTCTGATCAGTCAAGGAACACTAAAGATTACCAGGAAACCACTTCCTCACAGCCCTCAGAAGGAACCAACCTTGATCTTGGACTTACAGCCTCCAGAACTGTTGTTTAAGCCACCCAGTTTGTGGTACTTTCTTAGGGCAGCCCTGGCAAACTAATAGACTAATATTCCCAGGTAAAATCGCTGATCTTTGATACTTCTTCATTTGTGGTCATAATACAAACATAATCTCCTCTCATAGGTTAGAGAACTTTGTCAACAGTCACCTATGACTGCCTTCTCTTCCTCTTTTTATATTCAATCTTACACCAAATCTGAACTATTTTACTAAAATATCTATCCATTTCATTGCTACCACCCCAGACCCATTCTTTATCATCTCACAATTGATTTACTATAACTGTTTCCTAAATTATCTCCTGGATGACCGTGTTATTTCTTTTATCCACTGTATATGTCTTTATAAGAGTTATCCTCCAGCTCCCCATGCCAACAACCTCCAGTCAGAGCAAACTGAAGCCTTTCCTTTTTCTCCCTCTTTAAAGCTTTCCCATTCCTCTGCCTGCCTTTCAGTCTCTGCCAAAAGCAAATAAAGGTCACTGACTCTTGCTGTAGCAAACTTTAAATAAATAGCCTCTGTTTTCATTCGGTGGTTTTTGTATATTTCCACAGAATCAATACTGTATGGAGGAAAAAGGAATGTTTTTTCTGGTGTGTTTTCTAACTTGGTAGGTGTAAGCCTAAGGCTGCAAACAGCATCTTGGCTACGTACTATGTGGGAAAAGCCTGTCAAAGAACAACAGCAGCATGGAAATGAGCAGAGCAGGAGATGAAGGCAGGGAGAAAAGTCCTGATGATGCTGTTGAAGATCCTGTCCCCAGCCAAGTGGCTAAAGTCATCTCTACTTCTGGACTTTTCAGTCTCTTGAGTCAGTGAGTTCATGTCTTGCATTTGCTAGTTTGAGTTTCTATGGCTTGCAACCAAGAGGCCTGACCAATAACATCTTTTTTTTTTTTTTTTGAGCCTCTCTCTCCCCCTCAGAATAAGGAGCTAGAGCTATTTCTACAGTCAGGTAGAGGAGCAGGACTGGAAAGGCCTGATGCTTTGGTCACCCTGACAAACCCTGGCCTAGAAAAGTTCAATGGGCATGGCACAGTCTGCTATGCTGTCCCAAAGTTGAGCCACAAGGTTGCCACTTTTTAGTTCAAGTTCGCATGCTCAGCTATTGTTTTCCATAGCAGGGCATATCAAAGTGTGTAGATCCAGAGAGGTTTCTAGCCTTAACCACGTGCCACATTGAAACCAGCCTTCCCCACAGAACTGTAGGCCCTTGTGTTGAGCCCTCGTTTCCAACTCTACTGCTCACTAATAGGTAAATTCTCCTTGTCAGGGAGGTACCCAACTTAACCTAGAAAATTTTTCAGAATCACAAATCTTGGGAGTTTTATTTCCTTTCCAACCAAAATGTTCTGGGTTCCTATACAAATTAGTCCATGTCCACTCTAGAGCTTGAATCTCTAGGAGAAGCTCAGTTTTTATCAAGTAGCAAAACCTTCCCTTATCCAGGAAAAAGTATGCATTTATATTTGCATACTAAAAAAAAAACTATTGAAGTGATTCTATAGAATACAGAAAATCTGCTCCACAATGACTTTAACTTCTGTTTATTCAGAGAAGAAGCTTCTGAGCTTTAAAAATAATAAAATTGAAAAGCTCTCATTTCCCAGTACCCCACACTGTGAATAACTTCTGCTTATTAGCTTTGTCTCTTTGTTTCCAAATCCCAGCTTCTGTGCTTTTGCACAGGCTGTCCCATAGCTTAACCTTTCCTCTTCCTTTTTTGGAACCATACTCTCCAAATTAATTATAATCATTTGCTCTATCATTCTTTCACAAGTCTTTTACCTTAACTAGTGTACACATTCTTTGAGGGCAAGAACCATACCTTCTTTGAATAATCTTTAGCACTTGACATTCAATATACAATTGGTGAATAAAGGACTTAATTGATAATCAAATACATTTTGTAACAAATGGTACTTTCAATACTTTAATTTTCATACAAGTTGATATAACATAAGAGATTAAATCTTTTTCAGGTCTATAAAGATGGCCATTTTAAATATTATTAGTGTTTTAATTTTAAAATATTTTTATCATACATATATTTTGAAAACTAGATTTTATTTTTGTTTAACAATTAAAAAATATTCTTTTATGCATTTCTAAAATTAGTATCCAGAAATTTTACATTTAAATTAACTTTAATAATTAAAAAAATATTTTGAATTCTGTATCCAAAACTTAAGATATAAAAGTCATGCTATCTTGGCCACCCAAAATTGTAAAGTTCCTAATTACCTTCCTTTTTATCTTTCCAATAAAATATGTAGGTATCAGAAGTACATTTTTAAAAGTAAAGTCAACTTGTCAATAAGTCAAATGATTTAAAATTTAGCTTAATTTAATGTTTCTTTTCTGTTGCTATAAATGTGAATATACAGTTTGATAGTATAAATAAAAAAGCTTTTTTAATGTGTCCTGTAAACATTCTTTCCTTAAATGTCTCTCTCCTTTGGAAGTGTATTCAATTCTGTAAGTTTAGGAGAATGAAACATTTCTGAGCTCACAGACTTTTCATCTGCTTATTGGTTCACTTTGGAATGCTAAAGTGAGGTGCCCCTTCCCTAACCAGTTTTCAAAAGGTTTATTCATATATATATATATACACACACATATATACACACACACACATATATGTGTATATATATATATGTGTGTGTGTATATATATATATATATATATATGCACTCCTGAATTGACATACAATATGCAGTTATAAATCAGAGACTTTTAAGATAAATGTAAGATTTAAATCTCGTTTGCTAACTTTCTTTTAATAACATGTAAAAAAAAAACCACTCTTACTTCAAGATCTGAAATTTGAGACTGCATTTCCATTTCTTCAGCTCCTAACAAGCACTAAGAAGCAATTTGCATCAATTCGACACCTACTCCTTGGCATCCCCAATTCCTCCAGCAGTTATTGCGAAGGTGGCTTCATTTTCAGGCATCTCAGGGCTAACAGAATACAAGGGAACAGAAGTTTATAAAAGGCTCTATTTCTATAAATACTGTATTCATGTCACAGGCATCATATTCCTATTTGTCTGAGTCTCCAGAGACATGTGAGTTGGTACAGCTAAATGTGGACTACAGAATATTCTTCACAAACATTTATTGAACAACTTCTATATGTAAAGTTCTGAATGCAATGAAAAATCACCCCTAACTTGGAAATAGGCAAAAGGGATAACTGGGTGCTTCTTCGGTGTACTGTCAGGCATCATGTAGCAGATCCTCAGAGGCAGAACCCTAGTATTCTCTTAGGACTGTAAAAACTACAGAAGTTATTTGTTCCTACAGGTTTGGAGGACTTGACGAAATAAACAAATGATTGACTATATAGATGAAGTTCATTCATTTGTTAATTCAACAAATAGTTATTGGGCTTTTACTACGTGCCAAGTACCATGCTAGGTATTGGGGACATTAGTGAACCAGACTCAGTTCCTGTAGTGAGGCAAGTACATGTAATCAATTGATTACAACTCAGAGTAAGAAGCATTCAGAGAAATTCTAAGCACAGCAATCTGTCCAAGATAGAGACCAAGAAATTTTAGTAAAAAGATAGAACAATCCTCCTAGCTATTTATTCAACAAAGAACATTTGTAACAAATTTCTAAAGATTGCTGAAGCTCCACAAAACATAGCATTTGCATATGTATTATAGTCTTCTACAGAGACTGATGATGAAAAGCTAAATGGTTTGAATAAAAACCAGATAGAGGGGGGAAATGATTATTTAATATTTATTCAATGACAATACATTATCGGTACTGTGATTTATATCCAAAACCAGATTAAAAGCTCATCTGATTTCTTTCTGGCTGATTTTTCCCTCTCTAGGGTAAAGAGTTATTGCACATCTTTGCCTTGTTGTCCAGAATTGGCTAATCAGTCAGTCACAAATACTGTGCATCGATTATATCCCAGGCACTAAGAATATAGTGATGAGCAAGAAAATAGTGTCCCTATCCTCAGGGTATTTCCTGTCTAGTGAGGATGACATATGTTACATAAACCATTACCAAAGGAATGTAAGCTCCATGAGGGCAGGGACTTGTCTTTTTGTTTTGTTCACTGTTCTATCCCCAGAATCTAGAACAGCTGATACGTAATTCTCTGTAAAACATATTAAGCTTATAACTATTAATAAATAAGTAAGGTACTGTGAAAGAATATAAGGTATAATATAGAGTTTTAGCCTAGACTGTAAAGGTCAGGGAAAGATTCCTTGGAAAAGTGATGTTTAAACTGAAATCTAAAGAGAAGACTAGCAGGAAGAAAGAACATTCTTACCACATGCTGTACTTTTCCTTCACTTACCTCACTACAAATGGAATCGATTATTTCATTATCTAGCTTTACTATAAGCTTTGGAAGGTCAGGGACCAAGTCTATTTGTCAATAAAAAGCCCTGAATCCCTAGAACCTAATACTTAGTAGGGATTCCCAATGAATTGAATACTTTTTGAGAAAGAAATTCTGCCAGTGGAATAATTACAGCCTCTCAGGAGAGGCAATCCTATCTAATACCAATATGTATAAGAATCTGATTAAGAATAAGAAAATATTTACCTGTCATAAATCTTGGCAATTCTCAGTTCTCCTCTTCCCTTTCGCAAGCTTATTCTTGTTGTTGAAGCATGAGCCAGAATGTGTCCCCCGATGGGTTTTTTAGGGTCTGCTTGAAAACTGAATTAAAAAAACACCTTTTCAGGTTTCATCATGTGGACTCTACACAGTAATACCTGCAATTACAGGGCAACTTTTCTGTGGAGGATTGCAGGGGATAGGGTGTGTGTGCTCTAAACAAGTAGTGGCTTGTTTATAAACCAGGGAATGGGGTAGGGTTTGGAGCTGCTATGTACCTCATTGCCATCCAATTCAGGCTTTTGAGATTCCTATCATAAATAGTTCATGTTTTGTTTAATTTTTAAAAATAAAAAACACAAATAAAACATTACTCTGTCTTAGGATAACTCTTGCAGTTAAGCAACTTTTCTCTACGAAATACAAAGACTGAATTTACTTATTCATTCATTTATCGGTAGAATTTATTAGTGGCGTATTGTATGCCAAGCACTGTTCTAGTCTAACGAAAAAGAAATACCCAAAGCTCCCTCATGATATTATGATGTAAATAAGAGCAGACTAAGAATCTCCTTCTTATTCATTAACTGTACGTGGGAAGTTTTCAATGTACTGGTTATGAATCTGCAGTGAGAATAATCTCAGAAATCTCTTTATCACTGATGTCTAAAGTTTATTCTTCTAAAATAGGATACAGAAAAGATAAGCTCTTACTATGATCATATGGATTCAAAAAATATAATTGCAAGGTAGTTACAAATATTGACACTCTTGAGAGATATACTCACTAGGGGACTAATATTCACTTGGCAGGAAGTGAGAGGTTCTTTTTTATTATTTTTTAAATTTCTTTTATATATTTTTACTTATTTATTTTTACTGGTGGGGGGAGATAATTAGGTTTACTTATTTTTTTATTTTTAGAGGAGGTACTGGGAATTGAACCCAGGACCTTTTGTATGCTAAATATGTGCTCTACCACTTGAGCTATAACCTCCCCAACAAAAGGTTCTTAATAACCCTAACAGTTAGCCCTTCAAAAAAGCCTAGGTGCAAAAATCCTTCACAAAATACTAGCAAACCGAATGCAGCAGCATATTAAAAGGATTGTACACCACGATCAAGCAGGATTTATTCTAGGAATGCAAGAAATGGTGTAGCATAAAACCTACACACATCCTTCCATATACTTTAAATCATTTCTAGATTATTTTGGGGGGGAGGGAATCAAACCATTTTATGGAGGGGCTTTGGGGGAGGGTCAAAGGGCTGTGAGGACAATGAGGTCTGATGTCCTTGTCCTGACTGGGTCTCCCCAGCTTCAAGGTTGCCTAAAGCTCAAGATTATAATACCTAATCATAATACCTAATACAATGTAAATGCTTCATAGTTATAAATACAATTTAAATACTATGTAAATTGTTGGTAGAGCATGGCAAATCCAAATTTTGCTTTTTGGAAATTTCTGGATTTTCTTCCTGAGTATTTTTGATCCTAGGTTGGTTGAACCCATGGAGGTGGAACCTGTGGATACGAAGGGCCCACTATACTTATCTATAGCTGTACTCATTCTCCCTCCGTCCCCCTCAAACTTCTTTTCTTTTTTCTTATTTAAGCAAGTCCTCTTACATCTCAGTGCCTTTATACACACAATTATCTCTGACACAAAAGCCCCTTTCCCCTTGTGTTTGTTCATTTAGCTCCTACTCACCCATCAAGTGTCATCTCTTCCTGAAAACCTTGCCCAATACCCTGAAACAGAGAAGAGGAGAGCCTGCCTGCCCTGTGCTCTCACATCACTATGTATATTCTCCTATTAAAGTAACTACATTATAATTTTTAATTCATGGTCTCATTCCCCCACTATACTCTAAATCCTTATGCATTTTTGTAACTTCAGTGCCTAGAAAAGTGCCTATAATATAGAAGACACTCAGTAAATACTGTTGAATGGATACAGAAGAGAAGACAATTTGGGTTACCCCAAAACTAGATCCTTTTAGACACAGATTTGTGACATATCTTCACTGAAGCTGTAATTCAAGGAATTTTAAGGGTATTCTGACAGAAAGTAGACAGGATTTCCCCCTAACTGAATTAATCCGCCCACCACCCGCTTACAGATAATCTAAAGAAGAGCAGGAATACAGAGCTTTTAGATGTATGGCTGCGTTTTTTTCTTAGCAAATTATTGGCTTGCTATTACCAATGTGGTACCCTCTGCACAAACGGAGATCAGGTACTACTGCTTGTCATTGGTTACTCCAGGTGAAGAGCCTGAATGTTAAGAATGTCATTTCCAAATGGAGATGATTTTGAATGAACTAAATGGGAAATAAATGATAGGATCTTCAAAAATGCTAAGAAATCATATAGGAAAGATAATATAGGGAGAAAAAGTCCTAAAAAGTGACTCATAATGTAAGAGGTTATACTTAATTAAAATAGATGGTAACACAGCATAACAGCCTTAGCTCTGGGAGAGTATCAAGCCAATTCAAATTTTACTTGCTCCATCAAAGTGTTCAGGATTCTGTGCAGAATTTTATGCAGAATTTACAGTTCTTAACTTTTCTTATAAGTCACTAGCACTTTGGTAATGTAGTAAAAGATATAGACTCTCCCCCCTTCTGCCAGAAAAATGCACATATGTACATATACAAAACTATTCATATAAGTTCAGGAGATTCAAGGTTCTTCCCCCTCTGATGTGGATGAGTATTAACAATAGTAACAACAACCAAGATTCATTGAGTCCTTACTATGTGGCAGACACTCTTCTAATTCATATAATTATTTTCTTTTGCTTGGATTCCATATTTAGTATATAACTTTGGATTAAAATTTAGATTCTTATTGAGATCTGCCTATAAGGAGAGAATGCACTGGTCACAAGAACCTCAAATGTAGTTACGTTTTTCTTCATCAGTAAACTGGCCCTCTGATCTTTCATTGAGTCTCATGAGTTTGATTAATATAAGCCTGCCCCTGAGAAATGGATTTGTTCTTAGTAGAATGACCAAATCAAATCTCTGTCTGTAAGGCTGAAGGTCCTGAACTCTGGTTCAACTCACTAAGGTAATGGATATATCACTACAAAGCCTCTCAAATGACAGCACGCTAACCTTTCCCCAGGCATGTACAGCTTTAATGTGCTATGTGGTGTATGAGCTTTGGAGTTAGATCTGGGTTCAAATTTTTGCTTATCAGCCAGCCATGTGACCTCAGGAAAATTTTTTAATCATTCTAGGTATGTTTCTTCATTTTTTTTAATGGGGGTAATAACTGTACCTAATTGGTAGGGTAACTAAGAATAAAATACAATAATTTAGGTAAGGCATTAACCCAGTGACTGTAAGTATTACTATCTGTTTTCCTAATCCTGACTCAAACACTTATTATCTATGTTACCTTGGGCTAATTATTTACTTTTATGAATCTCAGTTTCTTTAACTGTAAAATGGGAACCAAAAAAAAAAAACTTCTTAGGGCTGTTGTGAAGATTCAAGATATATTTAATATTGGGAGCCTACTACATGCCAGGAACTGTGCCAGGTTGTTTATATACATTAGCTTTACCCTTGCAGTAATCTTGGCATGTATGAGATATTCAATAGGAAGGTGGGTATAGCTCAGTGGTAGAGTGTATGCTCAGCATACACAGGGTCCTGGGTTCAATTCCCAATACCTCCACTAAAAAAAAAAAAGAGAGAGAGAGAAACTCTCAATAAATAGTAATTATTATAATTTAACTAATGATTCAGTTAAAACAGTCACTTTTTCAATGACATGTAAACCAAGAAACTTTTCTTAAAGTTTCTTTGAACTTCTTTGAGTATTCTAGCAGTTACAACCAAGTCTTGAGGTAAAGTACAAGAAGGTGTAATAGCATTCCACATTCTTTTAGAGGGTTTTAATTTACTTCTATTTCTGACCAAGTAAAGACAGCTTCAGAAAACCACCCACATTCCTCCTTTAGCCTATTCTTTTATTTTCCCTTCTTTTATATTTTCTTATCTTCTTTCTTCCTTCTCTCAGGGGGTGCAGGAGTATGATGAGAAAGAGGAAGAGATAAGGGTGGATATTAGGAATAAAGAGGGCCCAGGAAAGATTGTTTCATTTATCCCCTTCTTGTTGAACAGGATACATACAGCATGTTATATTGTTGACAGAGACCCAGAACAGCCTGATCTCCCAACTTCAAATTAGGGTGCAGGGGTCATGAAGTATAGGATTATGGTATTGGTAGGGCAGGTGATATTCTTCTGGGAGTAAGATGGGAAGAGTAGCACAGTGAAACTAAAAGAGACTCAACCTTGAAGTCAAACATACCTGGGTTCAAATCCTGGCTCCTGCTTTTTAACTGTGTGATTGAGCAAGTGGGCATTCTGAGCTGTTGTTTCCTCCTTTATAAATTAGGGATAATAATAGTGTCTACCTCAAGCACTGGTTGGAGTGGAAACCTGAGGGGTCTGGGCAAGGGCAGACTTGATGGACAATTGGTACTCCTGATACTTTTGACTTGCTAAGGAATAAACTTAAAGATGGAATTTTTGAGAAAGGGTCCATTGAGAGAAAGGCTGAGTGAATACGTCCAAGAATGAGGATACTTTGAGATTAGAGGAAGATAAAGAGAGTACTGCCAAAAGAGAAGAATTGTGATGAAAAATAAGAGATGGTTAAAAACAAAAGGGAATATGTTTTACAGATGACCAATAGTAACATGAAAAGATGCTCAACATCGCTAATTATTAGAGAAATGCAAATCAAAACTATGAGTTACCTCACACCAGTCAGAATGGCCATCATTAAAAAATCCACAAATAATAAATACTGGAGAGGGTGTGGAGAAAAGGGAGTCCTCCTACACTGTTGGTGGGAGTATAATTTTGTTCAGCCACTATGGAAAACAGTATGGAGGTTTCTTAAAAAACTAAAAATAGTTACCATATGATCCAGCAATCCCACTCCTGGGCCTGTATCTGAAGAAAACTCTAATTCGAAAAGATACATGCACCTTAATGTTCATAGCAGCAATATTTACAATAGCCAAGACATGGAAACAACCTAAATGTTCATCAACAGATGAACAGATAAAGAAGTTGTGGTATATATATGTACAATGGAATACTACTCAGTGATAAAAAAGAATGACATAATACTATTTGCAGCAACATGAATGGACCTAGAGATTATCATGCTAAGGGAAGTCAGACAGAGAAAGACAAATATCACATATTACTTATATATGGAATCTTTTTAAAAAATGATACAAATGAACTTATTTACAAAACAGAAACAGACTCACAGACATAGAAAATAAACTTACTGTTACTAAAGGGGAAGGGGAGGGAGAGATAAATTAGGAATTTGGGATTAGCAGATACAAACTACTATATTTATATGTAAAATAGATAAACAATAAGGCCCTACTGTTTACATCTTGCAGTAATCTATAATGAAAAAGAATATATACATATGTATAACTGAATCACTAAGCTGTACATCAGAAACCAACACAACATTGTAAAACAACTATACTTCAATAAAAAAAGGAGTATGTTTAAGAAGTTTTGTTAAGTAACCCCACCCCTCATTTCCTCCCAAAATACGCAGAAAAATCTACATATTTTTCAAAATTTTGAAGATGGAATTTTGGGGGTGGGGTAGGGAGAGGTGCAGCAACATGAGACTGGCTTCATAGAACAGGGAGACCCAAGGAGGCTGAGTTACGCTGGGGTGATACGAGCAATATGTAAGATGATACAGGGAAGTACTTGGCACATGGTAAGCAACCAATAAACATAAATGCTCTTAATTTTGAGGGAGAGGAAAGTGAAGTTCAAATAATTTAAATGTTGCACAAGGTCACCATGCTAGTAACTTTGGTTTAATGTTTTTTTCTCTAACCATATTGCCTCTTAACTTACACTAATGATGTAGAATCAGTAAGTGACATCCTTGAATAAACTGACTGCACATTTACAAGACTGCAAATGTAAGACGACTTTTTGTTTTAAGAAAACAAATACACAAATGAAGTAGGTGGCATCATCATGGTCTTATTTGTTATCTTATTATTTGCCCTGGTATGGAGCTTTACAGGCTGATACTTTGACTTTATTTCCAGGTCTTCATCAACTGGATCATTCTAGTTCTAAAATCTGTTATCTGTAAGCCTCATCTAGGAGCTACTGCTCTGCTGTATCATATGGCAGCTCCTTGCCTCTATAATTTTGTTCCTTTTTAATGTGATGTGCCATCAAGTACAGTGCATGGGAAATAAACCTCAATCATTGTTGGTGAACTTGAAGACTCATACCAATTATAGTGATATTGCTCTGACAGGTGCCAGGAGAGCTGCAGCTTGAAGTTCCTTAACACTGAGAAACAAAGATATTTTCTTTATGGGAAATGTTCTAACAGCATTTGAAATCCTTTAGTGTAAAACTATTCTTTTCTAAAAAAAATTTAGTTATGGCAATTTATGTGTTTTATAGCACATGCATTTAATTTATATTGTTATAATATACTTTAGAATATACTAATTATAGTAAAACTTTTTTCCTTATGACTTGCATAGGTGGAAGACATGCTGTTTCAAAGCAGATTCACTCAGCAAAAACACTAGCCTTTGCTACCTTCTTTGGCTCTTAGTTTACTTCATTATAACTCTCCTTCCTTCTCTGACTTCTTTAATTATTTCCTTTCTGTCGCCTATTTTTCTCTTATTGGATTAAATTCAAAATGGTTTTACCCTTTTTGAAACTTTCAACAAATAGAAGGAAAAGAACCCCTGTCTGACCTAATTTCCACAGACTTCTTTGCCTTCTAACTCTGGATAGACAGTTTCGGCCTCTTCAACGTTCCCTCCCAACACCTGAAGAAAGAACACTGCTCTTTAACTTGTACTGTTTTATTTGAGTGCAACCCACTTCCTCCCTCTGAGCCAATGAGTCATTTTCTCTTTTTAAAGCAAGCCTTAAAAATCTTCCATTTCTCTTCAGTTTAAAATTATTCTCTTTGTAAAGTACTTCATGTCCTGTGTATGAAAGATACCCTATAAAACAGAGAAGACTGCCTTAACCATTCAAGGACTACAGACAATGCATGACCTACCAAGACTTTAAAATTTTGAGTTAAATGGACATCATTTATTTTCTTTCTAATGGAAGCAAGGCATATAGTCTCTTTTGTTCACTAGTGAATGCCTAGAATCCTAATACATAGTAGATTTTCAATAAATACATATTGAATGAATAAATGATTGAATTCCTCCTCCTCAGTCTTTTAAAAATGCTTAATACCATTTGGGACTTAATACTTTTCACATTGGAATCTCCTGTAATTAAGTAGAAAATATTCATAAAAGGGTATTGAAAAGTGAGAAGTATATCAAACTGCAGAAGATAAAGCAATACTTTTAGGGTTAGTTTAGAAAATGCCTAAAGAGAGATACACATTCATTTCAGTACAATTTACAGAATTTATGAAATCATATCAAATATCTTTTAATATATATGTCAATGACTGATTTATCTGCTGCTAAATGATGTAGTGACTCAGTTTTAAAGAAACAGAATTTTGAATTGCAACAGTCAGGGTAATAATTGATTTAAGCAAAAATCTTCAATGGATGCTAAAACCAGTGGGTGAAAGCTTATTGCAGTACACGATATTTACACAAGTCTCAAGGTATCACTCCACAAATTACTTATTAATTACAAAGGGGAAAAGGTCTTTTACAACAGAGAAATCTTGTGAATGCCATTTTAATCACATGATTAAACTTAACATCACTAAAAATGGGACAAACTGCCATAGTGGGCCTCCTGATACGATATATGGAAAAGGCCGTAATATCACTTACATAGTTTTCTTGTCGAAAGTGTTTAACATTTTAAATAATGAGAAAAAAAACCAACACCAAAATGAGAGACATTCTGAAAAACAGTTGGTCTATGCTCTTCCAAAATGTCAGTGTCACAAAAGTCTAACAAAGGTTGAGGAGCTGTTCTGATTAAAGGAATCTAAAGAGATATGACAACTACATAGATTGCATGGTCCTCAATTGATCCTGAATCAAAAATAAAACAAAAAACCCAACAACCATAAAGGATATTATTAGAACTGGAGACAACTGAATATAACTGTATATTAGATAAGTAGTATGCCAATGTCAAATTTCCTGCTATGCTAATTATATTGTGGTTATATAGGAGAATGGTCTTGTCTCAGAAGAGATATGCTGAAGTATTAAGAGGTGAGGTGTCATAATGTCTGCAAATAGTTCTCAATGGTTCAGGGGAAAAAAACTCTCAAAAGGTTCACAAAAAATATGTATGTATATATATTTGAGCATGTGTGTGTATGTTTGTATATAGAGAATTTTACACACACTTGCATACACACACAGAGAAAAACGTGGCAAAATGTTAACAATTGATGAAAATAGGCAAATGATATTTGTGTATTCATTGTGCTAGTCATGCAACTTTTCTCTGGTTAAAAATTGTTCTAAATAGGCAGGAGGGTATAGCTCAAGTGGTAGAGTGCATGCTTAGTATGCATGAGGTCCTGGATTCAATCCCCAGTACTTCCTCTAAGAATAGATAAATAAATAAACCTAATTACTTCACCCCTACCAAAAAAAAAAAAGATTAAAAAATTATTCTAAATAAAAATTATTTTAAAAGATCTTTAAAAAAGCAACACATAGATTCAGGGTTATTTTGATTGCTAATTCAGATACAAAAATGTTCAAAATTTTTGGTGGTAGCAACTAATCTTTCTTCAAATTTTCCATTTCAGTGTTCTACTTTAGCTCTCTTTGTCTTTCTACTCACTGCCATCTTTCAAGCAGAGCCATCAATATGTATGTTATGTGCACAACTACTTCAACAAATTATGAATATGCCTAGTGTGGACTGAAATTCTGTTTCTTCAAATAGGAGACTTCTGTCACAGGACCTGTTATAAATATATGTCATGTATATCCTGTAGAGAGCCTGCTTTTTTGTGTTTAGGCTAACAGCTTATCAGTACAATAGAAACCATTCATGTATCTGGAATATAAGCTTTTATTTCCCTAGGATCTTTTTCTTACTGTCCTCCTATATCCTGTCAGTCCTAGACAGAAAGGAACCCAAAGTATCTCTGAAAATGGTTAAACTCTTGCTTTGTTTTATAAAGTAGAGAAAAATAGGTTCTGGATAATAAATGAGTGATATTTGCAATTATGAATATGCACTGCACAGTAAAGTGATTTGTGATATCCTTGTGCCCACATCAAGACTGATCATTTTAGAATTATTTCCTATTCTATACTCTAACCCTTTTGATATTAACCTTTGTGAAATACAAAAGCAAAATGTTGCAGCTTACGTCATAGTTGCTCCTGGATCAGCAGTCATTTGATTGGTCACAAACACAGCCACATTATATTCTGCATCGAGAAATAAAATTAAGAAACTAAGAGAATGACAATGTAAATATAAAAAGTTCAGTACTTAGATTTCAGAGTTTAGAAATATTGTGCCATGAAATTATTTGATAAACAAGATTATATTCCTGTTTTTTCACTGATAACATAGATTAAATTATTTTAACTTATTATTGTTACTATTATTTAGGCACCTTATTGTATTAGAATCAGTATTTTTGGTTTAAAAAGAGTTGTATTCCCATGAAGGTAATTTTATTTTTTAAAAATATATTGCCTCCTGCCATTATTCTGAGTGTCTCTGCAAAGCCTACTCGGCAAACAGTCACAGAAGCTATTCTGATAGCACCATTTATTTTAAAAATCTACCTTCTGAGATTTTTTGGAGTCGTGACAACATCTGGGCCAATTTTTGCTGCCGTTCAGCCAACTCCCCACGACCACTGAAATCCACTCGGAAAAGTGCCATTATTGAATCAATGATCTGTGCAGGATTAACGTAAAAATAAATATGCATTTGGAAATGGAAAGAAAAAGTTAATTTGAATTGGAATCAACAGAAGAAAGATAACATGCTGAATAGCTCTAGGAGTGAACAATATTTAAAAGCCTGTACCAATAGCTTGAAGATGCCAGCTTCTTCATGGAACTTTGCTGCTACATAATCAAGTAGCTCCATCTGATGTTCACCTGGTGGGAGATGCAGTGAGAAAATGTTATAAAACCTAGAAGAAGCAGAGGCTAAGATCATGTAAGTTCTTGGGAGTCAGGCAAAAGAAAGTCCTTGAAGAATTTTCTAAATAATTTATGACTATTAAATATGATTTCATATTCCACTTTAGCATATATACCAAATGCTGCCTTATCACAAAAGAATGTTACTCTCCATTTCAAAGACAAAGAATAAGAAATAATTTGAGGGCATTTCTATCTAATGACTTGCCAGATGATAAAGTTTGTGTACTGACTAAATAAATTTGGAGAAAAGTAAAAGAGAAAAAGAATAGTGTCAAAATGTTGTATCACTCAAATAATAAATCAGTGCTGCCAACCTTAACACAGCCCAAGCACCCAATTGCATAGGGCTCTTACTAGTATATGCACGTGCATAAAGTACATTGTCCAAGACTGCATCGTGGTCTACATTGAAGCGATCAGCAATGTCCCGAAGGCGATCTGGACGGCTGGGGTATGTCAAGATTAAGGATCCAATAAATCAGTTCCAAAAGGTTTAGACAACAACTACAAAAAATAATACTGTGGGTAAGTATTTTAAAGAGAGGCAAAACAATGTACCTGTAAAGGTATTCTGGAGGATGCTAATAATCACTTAAAATCTATATCAGATTTTATTTTTCATAAGTGCCTCAATTAATGAATACCTTAGGTAGTGATAACAGTGATAGAAATGAGACAGCAGTAAATTTAAATACTAAGTTATCTGATCTAAACAATAACCTTGGAAGCTAGTTGTTATGGCCTATATAACTTTTACAAATGAGGACACTGACAAACAGGGATTAGGCAAATGACTCAGGATTATGCAGCAAATCAGTTACAAGAGAGAAACTAGAAACTAAGATTTGTGAATCTCTTTTGTTCTCAGTTCTATAAAAATAGATCTATTCTAGGAAGATAATATCACTGAATTATAATTCAAGTCACTTCAAAGTGAATTAATTCACTCTCTTCATATTCCTCACTTGTTCGATATGAAATAGTTTAATATACTACTATATACAATGTGTTACCAACAAATGATAAATTTGACTGCATGAACAAAAGGGTCAAAAAAGTAACTTCAAGGATCCAGAAGGGAATTATTAACATATGTTCCTTGGTTTATTTTAGGGTTTAAAATCCACCGTCTTCTACATGAGTTTTGTTAGCATTCTGAAATTAGTAAATTCATAAGGAGGCAAATTCAGTGTACCTGCAAAGGTATTCTGGAAGATGCTAATAATCACTTACTCTATCTAAACTATAAAGGAGTAATAAACATTTTTTTAGGTCTTTGGTGATCTCAACAATATGTCTACAGTATTCTCTAAAGTGCAGTGAGACAAAATCAAGTGCGTGTCTGCAGTCTCAGTGCACACTGTTTACAGTGTTTGTAAATACTGATCGTACAATAAGTAACTGTAAAGCAGGGACCATTTATTATAATCGTATTTGTGACACTTGCTACTAGTTCAATAAATGTTGAATTGAATTGTCTTTAGGTTTCCCCAGCCATTTATATCCTAAAGCACTATATATGTTTTCTTCAGAGCTTCAGTGACAGTCACTAAAAATCTTCCATTGCTGCTGGGTATACCCAGTAGATTTTTTTTGTGAACAAGTCAAAGAAGACAAGGAATTGGAAGAGGCAATAAAAATGTTTTTCGTTACGTCAGTTTTTACAAAACTGGGTTACTATGCGACCAGGAGTGTAAAAGTTGGGCTTATGCCAAAGGGAGGTTCAACTCAATCTACAAATATTTATCAACTGATTACCATATGGAATTGATTACCATATTAACCAATCACCAGTGCAAGGCACTGTGGAGGATATAAAGAGTCATAAGACAATCTATGCCATAGGTAAGCGTAAAAGATAATTATATAGACAAAATATAAACATATAAAAATAAAAATACTAAGAAAGCAGTACACATGTAAGAGACACAGAAAGCAGAACATTCCACTGGGGCCCTTGCACGTCCTTACTCCTCCCAGTTGTTCCTCCCTACTCCCTCTTGCATATGATCTGGCTCCTAACCGTTTCTTTCTACCATTCTTGATAAAATCCAAATTGCCCAAACAGTGGCAGCTATTCTGCAGAAACAATTCCTCCTTCTCCAAGAACCATCCTTAATCAATTGTTTCTGAAAGTAGCTGAACTCCAACTGAGCTCCCCTTGCTACAGCCCTATTGTTAAAGAATGTCCTCAGAACCTGGTATCTCCTCAAACTACCATATTTCTTCTTCTGTTCATTGGTTAAATACACACTGCTTCTATTCCTTACTGTCTATTTGCAACACATTTCCATCATCTTCCTTTATTGCAAATGGTCTCTTGGACTGCTAATTGCCAACCTCAGTGATCCTCAGTTTGCAGCTTCTCTCTCTCTCTGTGGAACATTGCTGACTACCCTTTTCTTCTTGAAACTTCCCTTATGCTTGGCGTCCACAACCAGATTTCCTCCTACTTTGTCTATCTCTATGCATTCCTCTTTTTAGTCTCTCTTCCTAGACATAGGTACACCCCAAAGTTATGTTCTCAGTTCTCTTCTAAGTTCTCTTGCCCTCTTGGCTATTTCATCCATAACTTTGGCCTTACCCCTTTCTCAAGCTGAGTCTAACGTTTCCAACTGCCATGTGGATGTCCTCCTGTACATCATATTCAAAATCTTAAAATGAAACATCACCTTTTCTCTGCAACATGATCTTCCCAACTCTGTCATCATTATTCTCCAACTATCTAGACAAAGAAACCTAAGTGATTTCTCAAACCTCTTTCCTTTGTCTACCAAATACAGTCATCAAGTTTCATTGCCTGCCTAGAATATTGCAAAAGTATACAGTTTACACCCATCATCCAGCTTCAAGTTCCTTCATGTCTAAACTTTCCATCCTTGCATTCTGGAATAATTACACTTCAATTAAACTGCAATTCTTTTTGTTACTCAAACTTTCCTTCTGAGTTTTTGTTCAATTCATACCTTTCCCTTTATTTGAGACCATGACTTTGAGTAAATCAATAAATATTCTAACCATTAAGTAAAATCTTTCAAGAATTAAGAGGATTAAAAACAAATAAGATATAATTTCCTCTGAAGTATTTCTTTTGTCAATTTTACACCAAACCCAATTGGAGAAGTGAAATTTTTTTAAACAAAAAGTGATCTGAGACTTGACTAGCAACTGTTTCCCCTTGGCTTTTCTCATTATTGCTGGTTTACAGGATTATTACAAAAATGATGTATTTCAAACAAATTCTCTTTTATAGTAACAGTACTATACCACAGTATTATGTTAGCAACTTGTTTAAATAAAAGGGATACAAAGTATTTTCTGTATCAATGAAGATAATCTTTCCTCCTGAGTAGCCACCTGCTCCTGGAAGTTGAGCTGTCACTAGGAAGTAATTAAAATATAATTAACATTAATAGAAGTGAATAACTTTGTACAAAAGAGTATATAAGTTAACATGGGATTTACACTGTTTGCAACTTTGGCCAATGTAACAAAGAATAATGATTCCTTTAGTTTCTAAACAGTGTGATATATTTTATATTATGAGCTAGTTATAAAATTATAAGTATTCTGTTGGCATAGTAGTAATTCAACAAAGAATGTCAGTATCTTTCACAATAGGAGATAGTCATAAATTTAGCTCTCCTAAAGAACAGAAGTAGAATTTAAATATTATTAACTTTCTTCCTATAAGAAATAATCACGAATATAACTTTGGCTATATAACTCACTTAAGTAAACTTTCAATTAATGCATGTCAAATTTTTTAATTTATTTTGTTTATAGGTAGTAGTAGTTAATACTAAGGACTTATTTTATATTAGGTACCTGCATTGTTTCATTTATTTTTCAAAATAACCCTAAATTTGGCACTATCATTCCTATTTTACTGGTAGGGAAAATCTGAAAAGGTGAAGCTACTTGCCCAAGGTCACACAGCTATAAATGGTAGAGCCAAGGCTGGAGCTGATATTTTGATTCCAGAATCTGCTTATTAACCACTTTTCCATGCTCCTTCTATTTAGGTCAAAGAAATGCAGTGTAATATCTTTGGACAAAAGGAGGTTATTTTTGCTTATTTTGTTTTAGAAACATTTATTTTAAGTCTTTTTTAGGTCTAACCTTATACTATGGAAAGTAAGAGGTTCTAGGTGATGATAGATTCTGCGATATTCTTATAAATAGGATATAGAATAGACGGAACAGGAAAAATCGAGACCATTAATGAATGCCTCCTTCCACTAACACATTCATATACCCATTTACCTCCTCCTTATTTCATTCAGGTGTTCGGAGTGCAGCACATACATCACCTAAAGCATCACATATTCAAAGGCACAGCTCTGGTTACATAAATATAACCTCTCTGAGTTTTAGTTTCCTTGCAAATTTATTCAGATTACATGAGATTATGTAAAGTACCAGGCACAAAGTGGATTAGTAAGTGATAGCTATGATTATTATTATTACTGTAATCATTGTTATTATATATCCTTACCACAGAGGGTATGAGAGAGTTGGGTTTTTCCAGTTCGAAATTCTGTGAAACACAGAAAAAAAATAGTTAATTTTTAGATATTTTCATAAAGAATAAATATGACTTCACAGTACGGTTTTCTTTTCCAACTGTCAAATCTCACATATAAAGCACCTCTGTGTTATGAGTGGATTCTACATACATGAACACCAGTAGTAAGAACACTTTTTAAAAGTTTTTTCTTCAGAACTGTCCTGTAGATAAAAATTAATTTAAACCAAAATTTCCCTGGGAATAGTCACATAAATAAAAATTTAAGGCTCCACTATAGGAAGGAGAGCCTGGGGTTCTCCCACTGACCTGAGATCCTCAAGCGGGACTCCAGGGGTTCCTCAGGTATCTCCTAGCTACCAACAAAAGCAAATTCTCTCCAGAGGAAAACTTCCCCACTCACCAGTTTAGGCCCATTAAACTCCAACAGATTAAAATCAAGAAACAAGCTCACAAATACCAATAAAAACACAAGAGGTAAGCCATTAAGACTGAGAATCAACAGAAATAAACACAGATTTATTTCTCCAAGTCAACAGAAACATCAATACTAAAAACAAAACAAAAAACAGTTTTAGTTCTCTGAGGACTACAAATACTGGAATTGTCCGGAATAGTATGTAATATAGTTATGCATGAACTTTTTTTTTAATAGGGGATATAATCAGGGAAGAGAAAATCTATTCTCTATGTCCCTGAAATGTGCATTTCATAGAAATAAGATTAGTCTCATTATACAACCACCTTTTGAAGGTATGAGAGAAAAAATTTCTATTCTCTTCTATAGAAATCAGAGACAAAAGGATGAAAAATGTCAATAAGACTCATCTGTTAATCTTAGAATATATTTCAATTGCAGCCCAGAATGGTCCTGTATTATGATAATTGACACTTGATCATAAGTTCCAAAATAGATACAATTTACTATTAGTTGTTTATTTAATGATATATGGGTATATATATACATATTTTCTCACATAACAAAATATTAAGGTAATGCCTACCTCCAAAAGCTTCTGTGATTGCCATGCTTTCAATTCCACCTCCTAGCAATTTACTAGAAATAGAAAGTAAGCTTTAGTGACAGGAACAGAACTAGATATCAAGAAAGGAGAAAGTGTCAATATCATTAGTATCTCTTCTGTCTACCTACCTATAAATCTCTATCTATCCAACATAGACAGGAATTCTTGGCTGAACAAATGGCCTCCCAACTGTTTAGATCACAGGCTATACTGTGTATAGGCAGGTGGATCAACAAAACAATTTATAAGCCATGCTGTTCTTATTCCTGTTTACCAACAGGAAAAGGGCTATGCAGGCCTTAGATCCCATTATTCTTTAGAACTGAATTAGAGTTCAAATAAATGGTTTCAGTTATTAATTGGGCTTTTCATATTGTGCTGGGACTAAGTTTCTAAAAGTCAACTGAATATCCATTTTTTTTAAATGTGCCGAGAATCATGAAAAACAAATATTAGGAGAATCCAGCGATTGTCATCATGATTGGCTTATCTCACACAAACCAAATTCTATGAGGAACATATCAAGAATAGAAAATATTCAAAGATGTGATGGGTAATGATAGCAGTTAGAAGAATAACTGTCAGATTTTGACAGCATAAACTTAATTGGTAACTCAGTGATTTAGTGCACTTAATACATATTCTTGATTTGAAAAGACCTAAAGTTAAGTTTTTCATTCATTCATTAAATGCAACAAATATTAATTATGGTAATTGTGCTAGAATTTGGTAGGAGCACTTTAAAAATCTTTGTAGTTTATATTAGCATGACTTTTAGGACATGATCACAGATCAGACAATGTTTTAAGAGATATGCATAATCTAATACATTTATATTTACATAGTTTAAGAGAGAAATTTAAATGTAAATTGAAGCAATGTTGGAAGTTATGCACAAATTTAGTGAGGGCTAGGACTTTGATGAGGAAAAGAAAGACTTAGATACTGACCTGCATAAACTGAACCTAAAGGACATAGTGGAGAGATCACCTCATGTGGAGGCCATGTACTTAGAGATTCGTAAGCCTACCAACTATTAAAGAGAGCTTTCCTTGTCCCTCCTTATCTTGAGAAAAATCACCCTGAGAGGCTATAGCTCTGGAAAATCTCAGACAAAACATCTGGTTGACATACTGAAAAGGTGATCCCCAAATTTAACTGAAAGGGTACCCCTAGTTATTTGGGATAACATAGTTGTTCCCTTTTTGAAACTCAGGAAAATTTAGAATTAGGCATAGAAATAGTGTTTTTAAATCTAAGAAGACTTAAAAATACAGAAATCAAACCCACAGATTACTATTTTCATATTAAATTTGGGAATGATCTCTGCATATTTGGTATTTAAAGAACTTTCAAAGTTTAAGAGAATTTGACATTTTTACAATAACAGATTAGCCTCTGATTGATACAGACCTGCAGTTCCTAAGTTGATAACTAAGTTTATACACAGTATTTGAACATTTAAGAGTGCCTAAGACTAACTATTCTTGTAAGTTTAATTTATTAGATTTATAAGACATTTAGGTAATTGGGAAGATTTTAATAATTATATAAGTAAAGCTCTTAAAGGAAATATAGTAAGCTTATAAATATAATTTAAAATGTTTAAGGGAATTTAGTTAACCATATTAGAAAAGCTCCCTTAAAATTTGCTAAATTTATAAATGGACTTGCAGCTTAAGAAAAATATAACATTTAAATAAATCAAATATTAATTTTTAAAAACCTGAGTAATCTTTTACGTACCCAAAACCCAACATCAGGGACACCAGAAAACTCACTATGATAGTAATAATTTCTCTAAGTTCAATAGTTCTTAAAACATGATGTGGTGGAGTAACTGGAGAATATCAAGTTGTCATTTGAATCAAGTTGTTTCGATCAACCTGATTTTGACCAATTTGCCTTGGAGTAGAATTTCCCAAAGCCTCTTCCTTAGCTGTTACTTGAAAAAAGGTTCTGTGATTTTAAAAATTTAGGCAATAGTAGGTTAAAGAGGTGTTTTATTTCACTGCAGGAAATCAGACCCATTAATAGATTAGTGTGCCTATTAAATGTAGGACTCTCCAAGAGGAATATATAGTATAGCACACTTCCCCAACTTATTTTATTCACTATTTGTTTATTCATTCAATTAGTCATTCAATAAATATTTACTGAGCACTTGGTTTATGCTAGAGATTGCTCCATGCACTTAGAGTAAAACAGTGAACAAAAGAGACAGAAATCCACTACTTGTGGAGCTTACATTCTATAACAGAACAGACAATAAACATAAGTAAGTAAAATATGTGGTATGTCAGATGTTATTAAATGGTATGGATACAAATTAAATCCGGAAAGGGGATAAGATGTGCAGAGGATGAAAGTGGGGATTTTTCAAATAAAGTGATCAGAGAAGGCCTTACTGAGAAGTAGACATTTTAGCAAAGACATGAAAAATTTGACAGCAAGCCATGTACATAACGAGAAAAGAGTGTTCTGGCAGAGGGAATGCTAAGTTCAAAGGCCCTGAGGCAGGAGTGTATCTGGCATGTCCTAAGAATAGCAAAGAAGTTACTGTGGTTGGTACATAGTAAACCAGAAGAAGAATAAAAGAATAAAATGAGCGTGGATGTGAGATTGGAGAGGACTATGGCTTTTGCTCTGAGTGAGATGCGGAGTCATTAGGGTTTTTTGGGCAGAGGAGTGTTATGATCTGACCTATGTTTTAAAAGGATTATATTGGCTCCTATGTGAACAATAAATGGTAGGGACATTGTCTGAAGGAGAGAGGTTAGTTAGAAGTTATTATAATAACCCAGAAGGGATATTAATGGGTGGTTTAGACCAGTGAGGTAACAGTGGAGAACGTAGAGAAAAATAATTGAATTCACATTTCCTCTCTTTCTCTGTATGTGTGTGTGTATATATATACACACACACAAATATGTATTTGTATATAGAATAAGAAATAGAAAAGAATACAAACTTTTATTATGGAAAATTTCAAACATAAACAAACATAGACAAAAACAGTATAATAATAAACCATTATGTACCTACCACTCAGCTTCAACAATTATCAACTATGGTCAGCTCTTTTCATATAACCTTCAACCACTTCCCTCCCTTTTCATATTACTTTAAGCAGTACTAGGCAACATTCATTTCATCCTAAATATTTCAATAGGTATCTCTACAAAATAAAGACTCTTATTTTTAACATATGCACATTACCATTATCACATCTTAAAAATTAGTAATTTCTTTTTTAAATTTGACTTTTTATTGATTTTTTAACATTTTTTATTAATTTATAATAATTTTACAATGTTGTGTCAAATTCCAGTGTAGAGCACAATTTTTCAATTAAACATGAACATATGTATATTCATTGTCACATTTTTTTCCTCTGTGAGCTACCATTAAGATCTTGTATATATTTCCCTGTGCTATAAAGTATAATCTTGTTTATCTCTTCTACATTTTGAAATCCCAGTCTATCCCTTCCCACCCCCCACCCCCTTGGAAACCACAAGTTTGTATTCTATGTCTATAAGTTTGTTTCTGTTTTGTATTTATGTTTTGTTTGTTTGTTTGTTTTAGTTTTTTTTAGATTCCACATATGCGCAATCTCATGTGGTATTTTTCTTTCTCTTTCTGGCTTACTTCACTTAGAATGACATTCTCCAGGAGCATCCATGTTGCTGCAAATGGCGTTGTCAGTTTTTATGGCTGAATAGTATTCCATTGTATAAATAAACCACATCTTCTTTATCCGGTCATCTGTTGATGGACATCTGGGCTGTTTCCATGTCTTGGCTATTGTAAATAGTGCTGCTATGAACATTGGGGTGCAGGTGTCATTTTGGAGTAGGGTTCCTTTTGGATATATGCCGAGGAGCGGGATTCCTGGGTCATATGGTAAGTCTATTCCTAGTCTTTTGAGGAATCTTCATACTGTTTTCCACAGTGGCTGCACCAAACTACATTCCCACCAGCAATGTAGGAGGGTTCCCTTTTCTCCACAGCCTCTCCAGTATTTTTCATTTGTGGATTTTTGAATGATGGCCATTCTGACTGGTGTGAGGTGATAACTCATTGTCGTTTTGATTTGCATTTCTCTGATAATTAGTGATATTGAGCTTTTCACGTGCCCATTGATAAAAATTAGTAATTCCTTAACATCAACTATCTAGTAAGCATTCAATTTTCTGTCTCATGTGTCATATTTTTTGTAGTGTGTTTGAATCAGGATCCAAGTAAGATCCTCATATTAGGATTAAGTGACAAATCTTTTAAATCTCTTTTAATCTCTAGGTCTTCTCCCTGATTCCATCTGTTTATCCCTTGAAATTTATTTGTTGAAGAAACTGGGTGGTTTATTCTGACTAAACATATTTGAAGGTAGAGTAGACAGGATTTGTTAATGGATTCGAGTTAGGGTATGAGAGTGGGGAAAAAGGCACCAAGGATGACACGAAGGTTTCAGATCTGAGGATCTGGAAAAAGATCTGAGATGAGAAATTAGGAGGAGCAGATCTGGACCAAAGACCAGAAGTTTGGTTTTACAGACATATGGATCAATGGGTCAGAATAGAGAGCCCAGAAATAAACCCACACACCTGCAGTCAATTAATCTTCAACAAAGGAGGCAAGAATATACAATGGAGAAAAGACAGTCTCTTTGACAACTGAGTTTGGGAAAGCTGGACATTCACATGTAAATCAATAAAATTGGAAGACTCCCTCACACCATACACAAAAATAAACTCAAAATGGCTTAAAGACTTAAACATAAGACAAGACACCATAAACCTCCTAGAAGAAAACATAGGCAAAACATTCTCTGATATAAATCATAGCAATATTCTCAATAGGGCAGTCTACTGAGGCAACAGAAATAAAAGCAAAAATAAACAAATAGGATCTAATTAAACTTATACGCTTCTGCATAGCAAAGGAAACCATAAATACAATGAAAAGACAACCTATGGAATGGGAGAAAATACTTGCAAACGATGCAACTGATAAGGGCTTAATTTCCAGAGTATACAAACAGCTCATACAACTCAATAACAAAAACAACCCAATCCAAAAATGGGCAGAAGACTTAAACAAACATTTCTCCAATGAAGACATACAAATGGTCAACAAGCACATGAAAAAATGCTCAATATCGCTAGTTATCAGAGAAATGCAAATCAAAACTACAATAAGGTATCATCTCACACCAGTCAGAATGTCCATCATTAAAAAGTCCACAAACAATAAATGCTGGAGAGGATGTGGAAAAAAGGGAACTCTCCTACACTGTTGGTGGGAATATAGTTTGGTGCAGCTATTATGGAAAACAATATGGAGATTACTTAAAAAATTGAAAATAGAATTACCATATGACCCAGCAATCCCACTCCTAGGCATATATCTGAAGGAAACTCTAATTTAAAAGATACATGCACTCCAATGTTCATAGCAGCACTATTTGCAATAGCCAAGACATCGAAGCAACTTAAATGTCAATTAACAGATGAGTGGATAAAGGTGTGGGGTGGTGTGTGTGTGTGTGTGTGTGTGTATATATATATATATGTAATGGAATATTACTCAGCCATAGAAAATAATAAAATAATGCCATTTGCAGCAACATGGATGGAACTGGGAGATTGTCATTCTAAGTGAAGTAAGCCAGAAAGAGAAAGAAAAGTACCATATGATATCACTTATATGTGGAATCTGAAAAAAAATGACATAAATGAACTTATTTACAAAATAGAAAAAGATTCACAGACATAGAAAACAAACTTACGATTACCAAGAGGGAAGTGGGTAAAAAGGGATAAATTGGGAGTTCAAGATTTGCAGATACTAACTACTATATATAAAAAGATAAACAACAAGGTCCTACTGTATAGCACAAGGAACTATATTCAGTACCCTGTAATAGCCTGTAATGAAAAAGAATATGAAAAGGAATATATGTACATACATGTATAACTAAAACATTACGCTGTAGCTAAAAGAAGTTAAGTTTTAACTGTATGATATTGGCCATTATATATTGTTTAATGAAAATATCATAAATCTAGGGGGGAAGGTATAGCTCAAGTTGTAGAGCACATACTTAGCATGCACGAGGCCCTGGGTTCAATCCCCGGTACCTCCTCCAAAAAATAAATAAATAAGTAAAACTCATTACTTCCCCTCCCAAAAAAAGATGAATAAAAAAAGGCTTTTAAAAATATCATGAATTTTGCTGCATGATCTCATTTTGGGAATATAAAATGTACATATTTCTATATCCATGTATTTATATAGCTATGCATATAAATGACTGAAGATATGCAAATCAAAAAAAAAAGGAATCTAGTACTGCCTGGTACTGCTTATATTTTGGGTCTGAATTTCTTGTAAGAAATTTAATTCCACTTTTACAAGCAGTCTGGAATTTATTTGCTTCGGTTGACTTTTGAGGAAAAAAAAAAACTTCTTCAAAAGAAGCAGCTATTTCTACTATTTACGGTCAAAATAACAACCAGATAGAGGAAAAGAAATATAGTATTCCAAAGACTGTGCTTAGTGGTTATAAGAAATATGAGATACACACTCAAATTCCTGGCTCCCAGTGGTGATATGGAAAACCATCTTCCTCTTCTCACTATACTCAAATGCAGTCAAGAATCCTGGTTCCTACAGAAAGACAAAAGGAAAGGTTCAAAAAGGGTATAAAATGATGGTTTTAATTTCAAATGCTGGCAAAAATTATATGCTTGATTATCAGGGTCATCATTTGATATAAGCCACAGCTAATCTGTGTTTGAAGGCTGCACAAGATCATGGTTAAGAACATACGGTCTGGAGCCACCCTACCAGCGTTCAAAATATGTCTCTAATAATTATTTGCCGTGTGATCTTGGGTAAACTACTTAATCTTGCTGTACTTCAGCTTCATCTTTGGGTCAAATGGGGATAATAATAGTGTCTCTCTCATAGGGTAGCTGTAAAGATTAAATGAGATATATTTGTGGCATAAAGCAGAATGGTACATTACTAAGTGATTCAGTTGATTTCATTCAGGAGCATCATTTTCCCTCAGCTCTAGAGGTTGCAAGGAGCACAGAAATTCTAGTTTTCATTATTCATGAGATGATATTTTTTACATTAGATATACTACATATTTGATGAATTAATGAGCTACAGTTGATGCACTGTTGTAACTAGTGAAAATAGGCCCTGATGTCATCTAATGTATTTCCCTCTTTGTTGTTTTAAAGTATGAGACTGGTTCTCAAACTTTAGATAACTTGAGGAGGGAAAAGCTCATGCCCAATTCTACTTCAATGAGCCCGGGCCTCTGTTCTTTATTCACCCCTCCAGGTGATTCTAATATATACCACCGTACTATGAAATCAACTTCCTGTCTCTCTCTCGCTTTCTCTCTCTGTCTCTTTCTCTCTTTCTCTATCCCTATGTCTCAATCTCTTTCTTTACAAACAGCTCTAGTTAAGAAAGAATAAGACTCTTATTCTCTTACTCTTATGCAGGAGTGGGTGCATGAGGAGAGAAGTTCTTTTCTTTGGAAAGTAATACCAAAGAAAAGAAGACTAATGCCTAAGAGCTATAAAGTTAGCAGTTTCCCAAACCCTGGGTACTGCGCGAGGGCTTCCTTAGACACTCTGGTAGTTTTGGATTTGACTTGTGGGTATACCGGCTGTAGAAGGTAGAGCAACTGAGCTGGGTGCTCAGAGCAGTTCAGTTGGGTCCTCTCCAAGTTCAGGACCACACTGCAATGTGCATCACTCTCATGCTTTGACTGCCTCTGGGGAAGGAAACCAGATGGCTGTCAGTGAAGAGAGCATCTGGGACTCAGTGGGAATGAGACCACCACATACACATGTAGAACTGGGGAGGCCTGCTCTTCTATAAAGAGAGACTTGGTGACTACTTTCTGCACATTCATTTCCAGAGCTGGTGCCTCTAGTGGACCCCAAAAGCTCTACTCAAAAGCTTGGGTCAAAGGCATGTATTTTTGCTTGGAGCCTGTCAGCTGCGCAGGCCTCTCATAGTCTGTGGGCTCAGCTACAAGGTATGGGTTTCGCTTAGTTTTAAGGTCAGGCGCTTCAGTGAACACTCTTCTTCACATCTATCTTAACTGCTCACATGTAGACCCAAACACTGCTGGTCTTTTTCTAATGCAATGCTCTCCTTTCAAATACCTATACCAGGAGAGAGCAACTTCTTTGGTGCCAAGCGCTTCATAACAGCCATAGATATAATGTTTGAGGAGGCAAGACAAAATAAGAAGGAGGAAGTTAAAAAATATTAAAAGGAGAAGGAAAGGCAGAGAAACAGAAAGGGAAAAAAATAATATAAATGGAGGCAGAAAGAAAAGTTTTGATAAAAATAATCACCTTCATAGTGTTCCAGGTCTCTTAACCCCAGTCTCATTCTTTTAGAAATTAACTGCTTTGAAACTGAAGTGATAAAACATTAACATGGGGTATATAATACATTGTAATCTACAGAAACTCAGAGTTCTCACAATAGTTTCTAGTGTATGTAATAAGAAAGGCTACAGAGATTCACAGGGCCCTTCTAAGCTAAAAAAAAAAAAGAATGGATTTTGCTTACAATAAGTTTGTTAGCTGCCTCTTTAATCTTGTCCACTTTTGCTTCTGAGAGCCCTTTGACATTGCATAGGGCTCTTCTTGTTGTCATCTGTATCCCTTTGATGGTACAGATGCCTACTGACTTCAGTTTCTTAATGTCAGCCACATTCTGTAAGTAAAAGAATGAGTGCAGCAGATTGAGAAAATGCCAGCCTGAAAGGCTCCCATACTATGTCATGTGCTTTTGTGTCCATCTACTTCCATCATGATGCCAATTTTATACAAGCAGCCAGGTGGAACCCACCCACCATGTAGCCAAATGTTCTCGAAATATCTGAGTAGAACATACCCAGCATGCTGCCAAATGTTCTGGCTGTGCCCTGATTTCCCAAGAATGTTAGTGAGACCATGGCAATGTAACAAGAAATTCAAAAGAAAAGTCTGCTGGTAGAAAAGCTAACAAATTTATCACACATTCACCCCCTCAAGTTCAACTTCTTCCTTCTATAGAACTTCATTACCAATATGTTCTCTTAAATTTTTTAAAGATTTTTTTTCTTTACCCTTGGAAAATGCAAATAACTACATCACCAAAGGACTAGGATTTTCTCTTGCTCCAATTTTCTAAATCCAACTGAAAGAGATTAAATGTAAGGGTTTCAAAAGGTAACATCAGAGAAGTTTTACTATCAGATGATTGTTATTGAAATTCATCTAGTTTGTTAAAGTGTAGATTTCTGTCAACATCATTTACTCTAATCACATGACACAAGATGGATTTTCTATTGATGAAAACAGTAGGTAGCTCTGAATGCCTCCAGCTGGACCAATGGTTTTCAACTGGGGGCAATTCTGCCCCCAGGGGACACTTGACAATATCTGGAGAAAATTTTGGTTGTCACAACTAGAGAGGTGTTACTGGCATATAGTGAGTGGTTAGGAGCCAGGGATGCTGCTAAACACCCTACAATGCACAGGACGGCCCCTGACAAAGAATTGCCCAGTCCCAAATGCCATTAGAGTCAAGGCTGAAAAACTCTGAATTGGACAATTTCACACAGCATTGGAAAAAATACTTACAATCCCATGTTTTTGTAACAGGTCAATGTCTTGAAACAAAGATTCCTAAAGGAGATGGAACAAAAAAAATGGAGTGTTGATTCTTCATATCCAACTGTTTCACATATTTTAACGAGTTAATTCAGTATTATGAGTCACTCCAAAATGCCTCAAATTCCACTTCTCTAGACAGACTGAGGTAGGATCAATAATTCTTTTTCAAACACATTTTTCCATACTTAGAAGTGCCAACATTGAAAGGGCTGGCCTTACTTTTGTCATGGCCTCTCCAAATTTTTAAGACCTTATCCCAAAAGAGTGGACCAACATTTAATCTATTTTAAAATATGAATTCTCAATATACTTCCCCACCAGACCTTGAAATCCTTCCTCTGCTATTCAGTACCAGGATGCATAGGTACCAGTATGGCCATACCAGTTGTTAAATTATTAAAATACTTTCATGCCAGCTGCTAAGTAGCTAATCTTAGCATCCTTTGCCAAACAAGTTGTTACATATTTGTAATATTGCCTCTGTCCAGAGCCATGTTTTATTTCTAATCTCAGTTTCTAAACATAGTAGTTAACAAAGAAGGAACTTCATTTTTGTAGAATGACTGAATGTCTGCCTATCTTTCAACATTCTAGTCATACTTCTTCATCTTGAAATCCTGGTTCTTCCATTACAACTTGATCCTCCTTCATATTGAAAGGTGAGCAGCAGAAAAATAATCAATTCTGGAAAATAAGAAATATTAAAAAGTAGTCATAGATCATACAATACAAAAATCCTTTGCTTATAGACCTTCTTGATTTCATTTCAGTTACCAAGGACCAGAAGGACAACTAGAAAAACATTTAGTTTGGAATGACTGGGCTGGCCTACCTTCTTTCTGGGAGGCATGTGGCATTCTTTTGTCAGTGTGGGTATGTGGCAGTGGGGGGACTTAGTTTCTTTTCTTTCCCTCAAAACTTGGCCACTTTGTATCATTTTTTGATTTCCTATAGCACAATTAATCATGACTGATATCTTTTTTGCTGTCTTGAAATGTTATTTAAAAGTAGAATATTAAAATTTAGACTATTAGAATTCTATACTGTTATTTAAACTTTCATGTTTATGTTAACAGCACTCTAAGAATCTAAATCAGTCTTCCTGTTCTTCACTAGCACCTAGAACGTAACATATCTTCAATGAATAGATACTATTTTTCTCATGTATGAGGAATATTTCCCTGCTTGTAAATTATGAATGGGCTTTCTTGTAAGATATATATTTTTGTTTCATAAAACATTAGATGTATTTTATTTTGTATTATTTACTGGTTTCATGATTTTTTTTAAGATTTAAAATTATGGTGGCTACCCAATATTATAATATGATAAAATATTAGGGCCAATAAGCAGAATCTTTAACACTGTAGTAATTGTTCTAAGAGCTCAGGAATCTGCAAGGCATAACGTGTCCACCGGAAAAATGTAGTCCAAGTAATCAGTTTCCTTGGTCTATTCCATCTCCTCACTGAATACCAAAGTCAGGGGTTGGGCCCAGCAGAAGGGGAACAAGGTACTAAAGTAGAGATATGGTCGCTATCACCTAGTACCGCTGAACAGCCGAGTATTCGAGGCAAACAAGGAGACCGTGTAAATGGAATCTTCTGGAAGGTGGTCCCTAGGTCTGATAGCTAATCATATATTTGATTACCCCAAATTGCACATTGTCTTTTCTTTTCTCCTAGATAAAGGAAAAGATTGTTCTCTATCTTTTTCAAGAAGCAATTAACAGTGAACAGTTGGATCTAAAGTAGGGCTCCCAGGCACCGTGGCCTAAGGCGCCCCGCAACAGGAGGCCTGGTCGCACAGCCACCGGTTGTTTTCCTTACACCCGACTTCCTCATAAGGAGGCCAAGAAGGCTTCTTCGAGACTTAAGTCTGACTTGGTTTAAAAATAAGGATACTGGAACTCCCTACAGATCACTTGAGATTCCTTCTGGGGGCGGGGGAGGGGCGGGGGCAGGACGCACAAACGACCATCAAGCATCACCAAGGAAAGGAACCCTCGAGCTTCCCCTCAGATTTTTCACCTGCCTTTCCTTTTTGCCACAAACCCCACTCGTACCCACAATCTATCCAAGGTTTTCCAAGTGAATTCCTTCCGCCTCCCGACCGGCTCTTCCAGTCTTCAGGGATTCTGACTCGGAACCAGAACACGGAGACTGCCGGCCCGCGCGTCGCTGACGGAGAGGTTTGGCGCCAAAAGACTTTCGGGAGCTCGCGGGTTGTGGGTGGGGCAAGGACTAAGTGGGCGGGCTCACCGTGGGCGGTGCGGCGGGCGGGGGCGGGGGCGGGGCGGGGCAGAGAACGAAGGGCGGGGCGGCGGGAGGGCCAAAGGGAGGAGACGCTCCCAGGAGCTGCGAAAGGAGCCTCTGAGGGTGGCGTGCGGGTTGAAGGATTGCGCTGAGGTGGAGGGAGTGTGCTGAGGAGGAGGAGTCGGATGGAGACTGGGGCGTCTCTAGAGCGGAGAGAGATGCTGAGGTCAGGGAGAGGACTCTGAGGTGGGGGCACCGAGGCGACGCATCGAAATTAGTGGGTACTGAGGTGGGCGCTGAGGGGAAGATAGGCTGGTGAGAGATAGAAGGCCCTTAGGTGGAATGTGTTCTGAGATGAGGAGAGTCCGCTGGAAAGGGGTCAGGAGGTAGAAGAGCCTGAAGCGGGGGAGGGGTGCTGAGTAGAGGTGAGTGACGTGGTGACAGGTGACAAACAAAATGCTTATCTTAATCAGGATCTTCCGGTTAGGAGGTCGAATATGGGGATCTTTCCCCCTGCTCAAAGGTTTTCTTATAACTCCTAGTTTTTTATATCTGGCTTCACATTCTGTACCTAATACCTCAGTCATTGTACCTAATTTCTCTCCCTTCTCTTGACTCTCTTAACCATTTGCCACTCTCTAGTCTGTGAGTGAGGCACCCAAGGCCCATTCAGGATGGAGAGTAATTTTTCTTCGTCTTAACTTGAAAATTTAAATAGACAACAGAAGCCAAACATATTTTGGTCCAGCTTTTAAATAGAAATTTTAGGCCACCCTTCATTCCAGCAGAGCCATCTCTGGCAGCATCATCCTCTTCCCCTTAAATGGAGACTGACTGTTGAGGAGAGTCATGAAACATTTGAAAGAGCATCTGTTGAGGTGGAGGCTGTGATGTATCTTGGATGAATATCTGTGCAAATTGTTCTTTGGGTTCAAGACCTAGTACAGGGTGACCCTTTTTCTTTAGCGTTTAAATCATTTTTTGCTGGAATAAATAGCAAAAATTCCCACAATAGCAGTTGGCATTTTGCAGGACATTCCTGTCCACCCCCCTCCCCCCGTGGATTGTTTAAAGAGCCAACAAATAACTGCCATAGCGCTTCAAAATCTGTTATTTTCCAGAAACATAGCCTATGTTAAATGGAAATCAATGCCCATTTTTGAGATGAATACGATAATGATGATAGGCTTTCACTTTGAGGACTCACCTAAAATAATTATAGTAACTTCTGAGCAACTTGTTAGATGGAGACATCAACTGTACAGAAGAGCTGCAAAGAGCACAGCAAGATGATTTAGGGAAATATAACATATGTAGTTTGGTGTAGTGACAGCTGGGAGAGAGAAATGTTCATAATATTTGAAGGTTGTGTGCAGTACACTTAAAGAAAGAAACTGAAATGAGCTTGGTAATGACAAATTCATGAAGTGAGGATAAAAATATTGTTTGGATATCATATTGATGGTTATATACAACTTCAAAATTTAAAAAAAACCCTAAAACCCTGGGGTAGTCAAAAAGTACATTTGAAGATCTTTCCACTCAAATCAGGACAAAAAAGACTAATCTTTAATATCTTACACAGTTCTGAATATGATGAAGGTGGTTTTTCAAATCAGTGGGGAAATGAGTTCAGTGAATGGTGTTGGAACAAACTTAGGTAGTCATCTGGAAGAAAAATAAAATTGGAACCATACTTCACACCTTATACCAAAATAAATTCCAGATGGATCAAGAAATTAAATCTGAACAATAATAAAAGTGCTAGAAGAAAACATGAGACAATTTTTTTATTATCTCAGAATAAGAAAAATCTTTTTAAGTGTTACACAAAATTCAGAAGCCATAAAAGACTTTTAAGAATGACTGTATTAGAGAAAAATCCTGCATGGCAAAATGCTACTTTCCTATCCTAGATATAGAGCATGGCAAGCCAGAGCTTTTGTGTCAGTTAGTAACCAATTAGTAATTGTGCCAATCAGCTGTCCCAATTTCTCAAAGCCTTCAGTGAGTCCACAAGTTCTTTACAAAATTTTTTAAATTTGTGTGATTTTAATTATACTAAGAAATTAAAAAAAAAAAAGCAGTGGGATTACAGGCAACCTGAATTTTAAACCACTACACTTTACTGCCCCTCTGTGGACAACCACCTTATAATCAAATAGAAGCATATGCTTCTACTGTGCATAGCTGAGTTTCCTCAAACTGGTGCTTGTGGTTGTATATTCTTGGTTTCAAGAGCTCAAATTTGAGAAATGCTTCAGTAGAGAAGTAAGGAATGAAGGATCATCCGAAAGAGAGAATTTCACTGGGTACATCTCCCCTTAAACACATTTAATTCACTCAAGAAAATGCTATTAAATCCCTATTATTTGTCAGACACTGTGCTAGGTGTTGGGTGCCAGGGATTCAACAACAAACAAGATACAAACCCTAGTGGGGGCTATAGATAAATATATAGGCAATTACAGTAGCATGTATACATACACATACATACATATCAGTCATTTGAGGCTTTCTTATTTACTTAGATTTACTTTGAAAAAAAATTCCAACTTTGGCACATAGCTGCCCAGAGAGGCATGGCCATGACTGTTTAGTTAACCGACATTCATTAAACACTGCTTGTTCCCAGCTCTCTGCTGGATATGGAGATAAAGACAGGTCTATGCTCTTAAGAAGACAGATACAAAAATAGATAATTACACATAGGATGAGATAAGAGGGATTATACATGCAATTGGTAACCAAGTAGACCTCTCCCTGGAGAATCCTCACAGAGGTGGTGACCCTTAATTTGGGGCTGGAAGGATAAGTGAGGATTTGCCAGCTGGACAGGCTGGGAAAGGCAGAGGGAACACAGAGGCTTATTTAGGGAGCTGCAAGTGGTTCGGCTGGAGTGAAAGGTCCTAGGGAGAAAGGAACTCTTAGAAGCCAAAGATAACATTTGATGATAGCTAACACAGCACTTAACTGCTTTCCACAGATTAATGCATCCATTCCACACAAAGATACTGTAAGGTAGGAAATATTATTATCTCTACTTACAGATGATGGAACTGAGGTACCACAAGGTTAAGTAACTTGCCCAATGTTCACAGTCTGGCTCCAGTATCCAGGCTCCCAGCCAATATGCTAAACCAGTATGTGGCAGACTTTGTATGTTTATAAGTGGTTTTATTTTCCATTTTAGAAGCATGGTATAAGCACACATAGGAGTGGCAACTATGCCAGACTGATAGTACAGTTCAGCCATTTACTAGCTGTGTGGTTTTGGGGAAAAATTATTTAAACATCTTTATGCCTCAGTTTTCTCATCTGAAAATGAAGAATAATATTAGTACCGAGTTGTAGTGAGAATTAAATAGGTTAATACACTTCAAGTATTTGGGCTGCTGTGTGGAAAATGGATTGGAGGGGGCAGGCAGGAGGGCAAGGAGAATACCTAGGAGAACACTGTAAAAGTCCAAGTCAGGGGTATTGGTGGCTTCAACCATGAAAATCCTCTATTTGAAAATGGGAAAAACTGTAGGCCACTCATAGGGCTTTAGGAGAAGACAAAATAATGTGTAAAAATATGCTTAAAAGTATCTAGTCCCTAGTAGTGTCTTTAAAGTTTTTAAGAAAAAGGGTATAATATTCTATCACTCAACTTCAATCTTCAACACATAGCCAGTCCTGTACCTCCATCAACTTCTTCCCTGTCATATTATTTTGAAGCAAATTCTACGTGTCATATAATTTCATCTGTAAATGTGTCAGGTTGTATCTCCAAAAGATAAGGACTCTTAAAAAACATAACTATAATACCATGGTCACACCCCCAAAATTATAATTTTTAAAACTGAATATCCAGGCAGCATTCAGCTATCCAATTGTCTCATAAATGCCATATATTTTTTGAAGTTTGTATCAACTGGGATCCAAAAAATGTCTGCATGTTGTAATTTATTGATGCTTTTTAGATCTCTCTTAATCTACAGATTTCCCTTTTTCCCTTGCAATCTGTTTTTTAAAAAATGGAGTCATTTGTTCTGGAGTTTTCCATACCTAGATTTTGCTGATTTCATCCTCTTGCTGTCACTTAACATGCTCCTCTACCCTTTGTATTTCCTATTATGATAGTTGGAGCTAGAGTCCAGATCAGACCCAGATTTGATTATTTGGTAAAGACTATTTCATAGGTGTTGTTGTAGTCTACTACCACAAGATATTTAATGGCTTTTTATCATTTGGGGATGTGAGTAGCAACCTACATCTATTAATTCATTAGGGTTTGCAAAATGGTAACATTTCAAGTAGGTGGAACATTTCTAAAAGAGAAACTTCCCTCATCTATTGTTTACTTGCTGATACAGTTCATATGTATGATAAATGTTGATTTCCCCCCCCTTTATTTGCTAGTTTTGAAAATAATGAATTGGTTCCCTAGTACACTTCAATGGTGACCAATTAATTTTTTAAAGTAATGATCTGGGGGGAGGGTATAGCTCAGTGGTCGAGTGCATGCCTAGCATGCACTAGGTCCTGGGTTCAAGCCCCAGTACCTCCATTAAATAAATAGATGAATAAACCTAATTAACTCTTCCCCCCCAAAAGATTAATTTAAAAAATAATAAATAAAATAATAATAAATAAATTTTTTAAAAAGTAATGTATGGGTGAAAACATGTTTGACATGCTATTATCCATGACAATTATTATTATTATGGATGCTCAAATTGTCCCATCTTCAGCTAATGGGGTCCTCTCTACGTTGGCTCCCCAGTCGTTCTGACGGGATTCTCATCTTTGGTATCTTCCTTGCTGTCTAGTACAACAAGATGTTCAATTATCTTTTTAGTGCAAATAGTATTTCAAAACCACAGTCCGGGTCATTGCTATTGGGTCAGTCTTTATTTCTAGGTCATTTCAATGGACAAAGTTAGTACATATTT